GTTGGTGGCGTGTGTGGTGGTACATATGTGTGTTCCTATTCACACACCACCGCAGTGTCCACCGTCGACTGGCGCGGCCACGTTGTGAGCGGATGCCGAGCCATTCAACGATAACCGTACATCAACGACGGTCCGCGAATCAGAATTGTTGCCACTGCTAAGTAGGCCTTATCGATACCGATGGCGTTTTCGTTGACATAGCTGCGACGCGACCACTTGATGTATCTAAGTACTTGCACGATGCAATGATAGGCTGTATCTCATACACATGACCCACGCTTTCCCGCGAGCACTTCTGCATATTATAGACGCAAGTGGCTAGGTGGACTCGAATTCGATTCTTCGAAGCATTCATTGATATTGGCAATGTCACCGTCTTCAGACGATTTAACGCCTGCCGAGGGGGCGACTATCGTGAGTTCTACTTGCTTCTGGTACTTTTAAATGACAGCATACATTGTCACTATACAGCCTGTGATCGGCACAACTACCACACCTTTACCGGCAATCATATACGGTGCAGCATGCTTCTCTACCATCTACAACGATAGCGACACCCTAGCAAGCAGCATCCCGCGCGACTCTGTTCAACTTGCGCTACGTTCCGGGATCACCGCGTTCGACACATCGCCATGGTACGGCGACTCCGAGATCGTGCTTGGCAATGCCCTGCAGGCCGTCGCAGATGAGTTCCCGCGCGAATCGTACCAAATCGTACGTTTCATTCATTCTTGAGTCACCCCCCTCCCACGCTCAACATTGTAACTAGATGACCAAATGCGGACGTTGTGCTGGCGTAGGCTTTGACTATTCACCACGGGCGATCCGGGAATGCGTCGAGGCGAGCCTGAAGCGGCTGCAGACGACTTATCTAGATACGGTGTACCTCCACGATGTCGAATTCATATGCACGCCCCGTGCGCCATCCCCGACAGGTCACCATTCTGCCGCGCTCTGCAACGCCGCTGCCGCGTATGGGCTTGACGAAGGATCGGAGGGTTGCGTGCTAGGAGATGGTGACCAGAAAGTCCTAGAGGCGTACAACGTTTTGCGTCAGTTCAAGGCACGGGGCGTAGTCAAGCGAATCGGCATAACAGGTGGGATACGCCTATATGTAGCCTGCTTGTCTCGATGTTCATTCCATCACAGGATATCCGCTGCCGACACTACTGCGTCTCTGTTTGCTGATCCTGCACACGCCACCGTTCAAGCCGGTCGACATCGTGCTGTCGTACTGCCACCTAACGCTGCAAAATTCGACGCAACTGAAATTCAAGTCGCATTTTTACGAACGAGCGAAGGTGGGGCAGGTCATCGCCGCATCACCGTTCAGCATGGGCCTGCTCACGGCGCGCGTCCCTGCGTGGCATCCTGCGCCACAGGATATGAAGGATATATCGGCGAAGAGCCTCGAGGGTGGAGAGGACCTGCCGGACCTGGCGCTGGCGTATGCGATACGTGAGGCGCGTGCAGCGGAACTCCCGCTTGTAGTGGGCCTCAGCAATCCGCGTGAGGTGCAAGAGTGCACACGGATATGGCAGGACACCGTTGCTCTGGCCGGCCATGCACTGCAGGATCGGAAGGAGCGAGAGGAAGCAGTTAAGCAACTTTTCAAGGCCGCGGGTTATTTGGACTGGTCGTGGGCATCGCCATGACATCAAATGTGCGTGTATTCATCTCACGGGCGAACAGTTCCTCTATACTTCTCCCTGTCTTTCTTCAAGATTGTCGGCTTGAGAGAGAGCTCGCCGAATATGTAAGTAAATTGTCAACTAGCTTCAACGCTAATATCTGAACTGGATGATTCAGGTTGTATATAAGATCACAGCGTGTAACATGTCGGATGGAATGATGAAGAAGTCCTGTAGGGTGTGTTATTGTTAATCTGTTACATACGTGGCGTTATATTGTATCCATGCCGCTCGCTCGCACGCCAGGTTAGTATTATGTACCGCGGTTCGCTGGTTTTTCCTATTGTCTCCATCATGTCTGTCCGGAGTTCTACTGCCGTCGACGTCCATATCAGTAGAATGCCGCAGACCTATCTGCCGGGTATTCTTAGGTTCAGCTTACAGTGACACTAACTTTTCATTGATTTACCCGTCATGATTTCATGGCCTGTTGGGATCCAGCGTCTCAAAGGACGACACGTAGTCGTATGCTACTCTGCATTGATTTCGTAGCATGCGTCGTGCTGTGGCCGTGGGTCTATTCAACCGTCACGTTCTTAATACTCATCTGCGTAAAGGCGATAACGTGCGAAGTCACACAAAGCTGCATGAACATTGAAATAAAATGTTGTTATCAGGACGCGGACCCGTGGCTGTTGCTGCCGTCGGTGATATGGAGAACAACAAAGATCAACTCATTTTTCCCCACAAACCGAGTACAAATCAGGCACCCCATTTCCTAAACAGGAAGGTCATGATCAAAATACCGTCACAAGTTGTGACATCCATCCTGCTGGTCGCTCGTCTATCTTGCTTTTCATGTGCTCTGACCGTCACCGACTTTTCGCTTGTTCCATCGCAAGTCGCAAACGATATACTTCTCGTCAAAAACGCGCTTGCCCCTCCGCGCGAAATGCTCGCTTTAGTGCATCCATTTGCATCCGAAGTACCGCATCCGACGTCCTCGACGTTGGCGCGCACGAGGAGCCAGCCACGAAAATCAAGCACATCTATCTCGACGACATCTTCGTCGGCATCTACGTCCGCCTCGGCCTCCACATTGACACGACCTACGTCCGTGTCGCAACAGCAGTCGCAATCGCATCACTCACATCCCCAGCCGCCAGCTCTACAGCGGCAATACGCACATACTTCGCCACATCCTTCCCATTTTTCCTCCTCTAGGCGGCAGCAGGCTCGCCCAGAAACGCCCCCTCCGCGTGTCGTGCGCTCCTCAACGCCGACGCCACCGCCCGCTACCGCGATACCGTCCCGTGCTGCTCCGAAGACGTTTGATATCCACTCGTATCCCTCTGCAGAGTTACTCCGTCTGTTGGCAGCTATGCTCACCGACATCGCCACTCGGAATGATCCCCGGGCACAGTCGCCACAACAGCAACAACCACACCTACATATGGAGCAATGTCCAGCCGTATGGCATACGCTCACAACAGCATCGCGCGGCGCGCTGGCGACGCCGCAATCGACACTCACATTCCACGCACGCAATGTGCCCACGATTTCCCTCGAAGCCTACCTCCTACGCATCTTGAAATATTGCCCAACCACAAACGAAGTCTTTCTCTCCCTCCTTGTGTACTTTGATCGGATGTCGAAGCTTATCGGCGAGGCGACCGGGCACACTTTCGTCATTGATTCGTACAACGTTCATCGCTTGGTTATAGCGGGGGTCACTGTGGCCAGCAAGTTTTTTAGCGACGTCTTCTACACAAATTCACGCTACGCTAAGGTGAGCAAGAGGCTGTCTCTTCGTCCGGGACACACAGGCGTACACACGTGCTAGTGGGGTGTCTCCAGCCTAAACATCTGTGACGTAGCTGCTCGCGCACATTTCAGCCACCTCAAAATTGCAGGTGCTAGGGTACAAATATTGGAGTGGCTGAAATGGCCTTGATCGCTCTTGTCTATTTCACTTGATGCTGATCCCTTCATTTGCCAAGGTTGGCGGCCTACCACAAGCGGAGCTTAATCAGCTAGAGATACAGTTCCTCCTGCTAAACGACTTTCGGTTATCGATCCCTGAAAACGAGATGCAAGCGTATGCCGAGCAGCTTATGATGTTCTCACAGGGCGTCTACGCTTCCTTCGGACCGCCGGTGCATCATGAGTTACCAGGATCACCCACGGCCGCCGTGGGCTCCTTTGACGCGTATGGAGGGCAGGTCGCGCCCTCGTACGCCTCATCCTCAGCATCATCGCAATACGGCAGCGAGAGCGATGCTGATCCGGAGACAGAGGGCGAAACAACGGACGAGGAGCCGACGATCCGTCCCACACACTCTGTTGCCGGCAGCGATACGAGCAGCCTGTTCAGCACTAGCGATGCCAGCAGCGTATTCACAAACGACGCCGACGAGGATGACGAGGATGATATGGTCCGGCCCGAGATCGACGGTCAGCGTACGCCTGAACGTGCTGGGGAATGTACACCTGCTCGTCTAGCTGGAGGAGATGGCGAACGGACACCGGAACGTATGGCCGTCGGAGGCATGTACCCACTGACGTCCGCCGATGTCGACGCAAATATGCGCAGCACCTGAGATACTGACACCTTTTTCTCTTTCTTCTTCCCTGTTTTTCATAATGCCATCACGAGCCAGTATATCATACCCCCCGCTGTCCCGACTTTTGTCTCTATTATTTGTTACGATCGCTCATGGCACGTACATATACGCACGCAAGCAGTAAGCAGCACTCTAGGTCAATTAGCAATTCAGCAGGGCTTGTTATTCTTAAACGTTGCAAGTCACTTTTTTTTTTCACTTTTCCATCTTTCTTAGTACCTCACGTGCACGTAACAAGACCGTCCTGTGTTTCTTTCTGTGTCTTTCTTTTCTCTCTGCCTTTCGTCATCATACGTCGTGGTCCGCTAGGGTTTGCCTTTTTCTCTTATCTGTATATTCGAATTCCGTTGAACTCCTCTATTACTCGTAGCTTGTACATTGCCATGCGCACGCCCTCGTACATTTACAATTTCTCTTAGACGCGCAATCCAGTTGAAGTGTATGTGTTGCTTGTACATGAATACCATTTTGTTATCATCAACGACCCGTCCATTCCTTCACGCGTGTTGATTTGCGATGTGGGTTATGTAAGTGTTGAGCATCGGGAAATCCTAATTTGGCAATCAGTGACTTGGGAGTGGGCTGTCATGACCCCTGTAATGCTAAAATTCTTGAAGAAGTTTGCTGCATAGAATAGTGTAGTGCTAATCACTTGAAAATTTTTTTTCTTTGAGTTGCCAAGGCAGTGAATATTTTCGAAGGGTTTTTGACGGCTTTGTAACACCGTGATATGTACATTCTTACATCTCTGATAGTATATTGGCTAGTACACCCGCCTGTCACACTATTCCAGTGTTCGGGTGTGCGCGGGAGAGCTGGGTTCAATTCCCAGTCAGAGAGAGATGTAGTTGTCGAAGTCACTGTTTTGGAGTAGCCTTTCCGGCTTAAGGGTAGCGGTTGGCGGCGGTCACAGTCTTCCCCTCGAGCACGCCCAGCGTCACAGGGGAGTCCCGTAGAGAGTGTTAGATCTTTTTTTGATGATATTAAGTACAACCCGAAGCCTCCTCCACTCGCCAACGGACAACAGTATGTACATAGCAGTAGCCGGACGCGATCACGTGACTCGAATCAGTCAGTTCTCGGAGACCAGTCCTGTTCAAGCGTCGAGGTACCTTCGGAGCCTCTCTGGTTGAGGGGTTGAGGTACTCAAACACTAAGGGGAAGTGGAGGGAGGGTCGAAAACTTTCAGAAAAGTCCGAGAAAATACGACGATGTGAGCGCTCGGGGTAAAGAGCTCGAGCGCGCACTTGAAAATTTGCATGGGTTAAAGCCAAGGTGCGACGATCAGGTATGATATCTAATCAAGTCATGCCCTTCCGAAGTGTCCCAGTTTGTGGGTTAGATCTCTTATCTTGTCCTACAGTGGTGCGAGTCGATTGCAAGCTCACGCGCTCACGTCGCGCCACCTACAAACTGCGAACTATCTTGTTCCGCTTTATGCACGTTCGTGTTCTTTCCCACATCTCTGTGCGGCTTCTATTCTCGTTGTTGTGAAATCTACTCAGGCGACAAGCAACATATTCGAGCTCGCTCTTTGTGTGGCGTTCCTGATATTTCTCCCTCGGAGCCGGGAATGCTGGCTAGCGTCTCAAGACGACCCATGACACCGAACGCCCTCTTCTTCCTTATACATCTCCACCCCTCGGTTGAGTCGTGGATTCCCGACATCGCGTCTGGGCAAAGGCTACCTGGAGGATATATGCGACCACGACACCGACGTGTAACAACTTCCCCATGAGGCGACTTCCTACCATTAGGCCCTGCAGTTCAATCGCTCTAGCTTAGACGCGGGTGTGCGCGCAGCCTAGGCCGTACGCTGGCGACGTCGCTGTTCTCAATTCGTCGTAAGTTGCGATGACCAAATAAGTGCCTGCCTTTGTTGAGCCCAAGAATCCACATTTGAACTGTGCCTGCTCGTGCCGTTGCTCGGAAGCGGAGCGTACGTGTCATTGCGCCGCTGCACGTCTCTGGCTTGTTATCTTGTCTCATGGTGACAACCAACGTTTATTGTCTTTCCACCGACCCTGGCATCCAGCTTTTCGACACCAAGTTGCTGTTCTCATCATTCCGGAGAGTCTGCAAGGCTCTGCAGCTCTCATGAAAGCCGCTACTATGCTGACGGACGTCTGGCAGTCTTTAGTCTAGACCATGTTTATCTCTTGCGGCTGATTGATGGACCTACTCGGCGACACCGATGTGAAGGCACACCATCGAGAGGGAGCATTATGCACACATCGACAACACTGTCTCGTCCTTGTCATGCGCTCTTGACAACCACCTGCAGGACATAACAGTGCGTAGGTATTAGTGGGCAAAATGTCTCGCATATGTGGGTGCGTTCTCTTCTCTCGCTGTACGCCAGAAGACACGTTGGTCGTGATTGTGGGTATGAGTCATCTGTCATGATTGCGTGATTGGCAGTCGGCATATGCCGAGAGGGTGCAGGTAAACAACGGCAAAGGTGTTCGGTCATCGTCTAGCCCTTGTCGTCTGTCGTCATCGCGTACGATGTCACCGAGCCACTCCCCGACAGAATCGCCCAAAACAGAGACATCCACTAACTCCAAGGCGCCCGTCTCCAAGCACGCCCGCTCCGACTTCGACCTCGAGCCCAACCCGTTCGAACAGAGCTTTTCCAATCCCTCCAATGTCCGCAATGCTCCCTCTCCTGGCACCACTTCTTCCGGCGGCGATACCGCCAAGCGTCGCTCCAGTTCCCCCCGTCCTACCCTCCCGCCTCTCGCCGCACTGGCGTCTCCCAGCGATCCATCTTACTACTTCAATAACCCAACCCTCTCTAACTCGCTGCGTGCGGGACCCCTCTCGCCAGCCATGCTCGCCGGGCCTCAGCAGCAACCCACAGAAAATCAACCACCATCCCATCTGCAGTTCGATCCCGCCGCCTTTCGCACCGGTTTGACGCCTAGAACGGGTCTCACTCCACGCACTGGCCTCACCCCGCGCACGGGCCTCACCCCTTTCGTCGGCGTCAGCGGTCCCGCCGCCTTCCCGACGACCCCTAACACTGCCGCCTTCATGAACATGTTTAACAATGCAAGCGGTGCAAACCCGACCATTACCCCTAACACACTCACCGCTATCACTGGTGTGCTCAACAATCCACCACCGCCGACCGGATCCGGCGCCGCCACCTCGTCGTACTCTGAGGCTTCACATCAGCAACAGCCACAGCGTGATGAGCAGGGATACATGCATGGCGCCAGCAGTGCTGCTACAACAGCGGCGAACGGCTTGTTCTTGCTCAGCCAAGCGCATCAGGAACTCACGAAGCGTGAGGAGCGTGCACGTGCTAGTGCAGGTGCAGAGTCCGCAAAGCGTAGTAGTGTCAAGCGCAAGCTTTCGCCTGCGCCAAAGCGTGCAACGCGTAGCCGAGGCGGACGTAAGGCAAGCAACGCGGCGGAGCAAGACGAAGACGAGGAGATGGAGGAGAGCGAAGATGAGCAACAGCAACAAGCGCAACCTCCTCCATCCGCACGTGGCGGCCGCGGCGGCAACGCTAGCAAGAAACCGGAGACCGAGGAGGAAAAGCGCCGCAATTTCTTGGAACGTAACCGCCAAGGTTGGTTATGTCCGAGCCCCGGTTTGTGTGTGGCATATCGTTGATTGGTTTTCATAGCTGCACTCAAATGCCGGCAGCGTAAGAAGCAATGGCTTGCGAATCTGCAGGCCGAGAACGAATTTTTGAAGACAGAGAATGAACGTTTGACGAGTGCACTCGTCGCCTCGCGCGAAGAAATCTCACGGCTCGGCGCCCTGGTCAGTGTCGGTGTGAGTGCAGTCGCACAACCGACCACAGCCGTGAATGGTGAGCATCTGCGAGGATCGTGATGGAGTGCAAGGCTGATAATACTTGTTGCTTTTGCAGGCAATGGTGCCCCAGTCAGCATGAACATGACGGTGCCAGTAGGTCTTGCAAACGGCAAGGGCGCAGTTAAGGGCGATCCTGATCGTGAGCCACCCACAACGGCAGTAGGAGCTCGCGGTTACGGCTACTAAGTACTCATCTCACTGCGATCGAGACCAAATTCTCTTCATTCATTGGCACAATCGTTTTTTCCCACTTCGATGAAATTTGAAGGTGTACGAGCCGTTTTGGCATTGTTGTACGGACCACCATGATTTCTTGTGTACCTTTCAAAAGCTGTTTTTGTTTGTTGTCTCCCGGTGTTTGATGCACGAAACGTTTGTCAACCGACGTCGTGCAGCGCTGCGCGCCTGTCTCTTCATGATGGCTCATTCCATGCACTGGTTTGAAAATGCCTCCACGCCCTCCGCCTCCCGAGCACCCTACGCCACGTCCGTAATCCGTTCCCCTTCCCTTCATCGCATAATCTAGTCGTCTTCGTACATACAAGCTCCTGTTTCCTTGAAATTTTCTCCAGTGGGTTCAATTCGTTTCCGCCATCATCACACTCGCTTTCCCACATGCACAACTTTGAATTCACGCATTTAGATGTTTATCCGCTGCCTCGACCCGTCCACGATGTGCGCCGTTGTGTCTAATCCCATTACGCCGTATATACATGCACCTACACATTTCCGGCTCTGTTTACTTTTCTTGGGGATTTTTTTTTGCTTTCTGCGCCGTTCGCTCTACACTCCCCTCCACTTTTACAAGTTTGTGACGTGAGGCGTCAGTGGGCTATCTCTATCCTCGATAGACTGATGCTTCTGCCTTCCTACATAGCGAGCATCTCTACTATCGAGAACCCACCGCAGTGGTAGCACCGTTGATCCCAGCATAAACACTTCATCCTGTGGTCGCACGACACCGATTGGCTTTACTCATTGGTTCCTCACACTAACCTCCGTGTATTTTTTGTCTTTTGTCTTCTCTGTCTCTCTCATCATACACGTCTTGTTACGATAGTGAAATTGCACATATAGTATATATTACTTGCATATTGTTGTTTCTTTATTTGCGGTATTTCCAGAAGTAACAGATGTTTTGTTTGGTGATCTTGTAATCTTCAATGTTGTAGGAATGGCAGTGGCGAATCGATGTAACAATGCATGATGTATGTCTCGTTTGCATGCTTACTCGAGGGGAGGGTGCAGTGACATATGTACTTCCCCCGGAACATAAAGATATCTCTTTGAATTCAGCATTTTTACTTTTGCCTTCATCTAATTTTTTGGCTACATCAGCTCAATATTTAGCTTCTCATGCCGGTGTTGGTGGGAGCGCGCAGCGATGTTGGCGAGGAGTTCGGTGTGTACTTCCTGGTATCTACTGTCGAGAATTTGTGCGCGCCGATCAGCTAGCCTCCCAAAGGCAGATGGAAACAGATGACCCCTACCCATCCTCACTCTTGTTAGCGCTGAACTAATTTACGAGTATGGCTTTCGCTTCCATACGTCAATCATAACTGCGTCAACAATTGTACTTATCTGAGGTATAGCCTGCGAGCATATAGATCCAAGCTAGCCGTCAGATAAAATTAGCGGGCGGCTGTTTCTTCCCTCACGACTGAACGATGCATGCACATACTCTTCCATCTCTTTATATGACAATAATCATAAACGACTGCACATGAAACTCCCGGAGGACAGGAGCGTTGGGCGCATGGACAATTGAGGATCACGGATGATATAGATTTGTGTATAACGTGAGCGCGGAGTTTCAATCAAATGCAACGAACCATAAAGACCGCGCAGTCGAACTCGTCCTCAACCGCGACGGTCAGCATCGGAGGCTTCACGCAGGTCCCTACTCCCAACGACGAGCGCGTACTCGCTCTTTTGTCTGTGAATCTGGCTTTTCTTCGCATCTAGCTTTTGTTTTTCATCGCGCATTCTCCCTCGCAGCTGCTGCAGCC